CGGTCACATCGGCGACAATTCCAGTCTTCGTTCACAGCGCACAACACTGCCATCACCATGTTGCTGCTATGTTGCTGACAAGCAGAAATACAGAACTTCGTTGATTGTCGGTTGGCACTCGGCATCAGAAAACAGAACCAAACTCAGCAGAGAAGACACGCAGGCACCCGGCAGCAAAACCTGCCTGTCTTGGACTCAGTTCTCGAGGTTTTCATAGCGTCGTCTACGTCGACAGTCGTTCCGCAATCCGGAGATGGCCATCTCAGCCCAGTGTACGTAGCGCTGCTGGCAGTGCTCCGGAACTGTGTTGTTTTAAACGGCTTTGTTTGCTCGTTTGACAAAATTAGGCGTAAAAACGACAATGCAACCCGAAATGTTCTGCACGTTTGGACTAGAAGACGGAATTATAGGCGACCTCCGGAGTCGCTGAAGCTCGATCAACTCAACAACATTTATTGAACAACGCGCGACGTGCTCGAAAAACGGAACCAAAATAAGATGATGCGGGAGCGCGGAAAATTTTTTCCCGTCTGCCTGGAGGAGAAAAACGTCTCGTTCCTCCCTTCTACTCGTGTCCGCTTGGGGGCGTGTCAGTAGAAAGGAGGAAAACGCGCCGTTGCTACCTCTTCGTCCATTTTTTTTTTTTTTTTTTAGAATGCGAGCGCGTATTTGATGTTGGCTATCGGAAAGAGGCGATGCTGTTCTCATCCCACAGGGTTCGAGAAAGGTCACGTGTAAAAATCTCACTTAAAGATAATTATTAGTAATCAAAAGTTAAAAAGAAATTAATACCAGTATATCCCTGGGAATGAATAAAATCGACGCCAAATTATTTTTTGTTTTGTTTTGTTTTGTTTTTTTGAGTCGCGTGAAAGAACAGGCGAGCGATGCGGGAGTCCCATTGCCGATACCGCCGCGTGGAAGAATATCCGCTGCTCATGCTTCCGCAAGAGGAACCGACACTCAAGTTCCGAATGCTTCCGGTCGAAGAGAGTGCTCCGCTTCTGGCGAGAGAAATATCGAGACAGAAGAACCTTGATTCGAAGTGTGTGTTGACTCGAGACAATTACACAGTCAGGTGTGTTCTGTCGAGGGAGCACCTACACACTGTAAGAAAAAAAAAAACGTTTGAGAGTTAACTTTCCTGCAGAAGACGAAAGACAGCCAATCACTGTGAACAAAGGATCCCACAAAATAAATAAACTCAAAACAAGGTTAGGAAAAAAAAAAAAAAACGATGTGCACAGGGACATTGAGTATACCATTTCATTTGCTCATTCTTCCCGTAATTGATGTTTTTTTTTTTTTTTGTGATCTAACCACGCCTCGAGCCTGGTCATTCGCTGAGATTCGTTTAGTCGTGATTGACTGCCTGTGTTCTGCAGGGAAGTTAACTCGCACGCCCTTCTTAGAGTGCAGGCTGCGTGACCAGAGCACTAACTTCACGGAGACGGGCCCACTCAAACTATACCCCGTTTGTGGTACGCGACAACTATATAAATATAATGCATGAACTGGCCGAGGCGTTTGCCGTTGAACGCGCCCGTCGTAATGACATACGAACGCTGACAAGATGCCAGTGGTTCTCTGGCCAGTTGGAGGCTCTGAAGGCGCAGAGGTTCGGAATACGCGCAAGGAAAGTCATTGAGGTCACAGCCTTGGCGCGGCATTAAAAATATATAGCGTGGATTTCCGAGGAACAGTTCCTTGTGTTGTTGTTTCTCTCTATTCTATTCATTCTTGGTATTGTTGCTTTTAGAGTCCCGTATTGTGAGAAAATGGAAGCGTATACTGTGTTCCCCCCAGGGTCACAGGGTACGCAATAAGCCGCTTGATTTTCAACGGGCAAAATAAACGCTTCGTCGACCTTTCTGAGCTGCTTTCTTAGTTGTTTCAACCTCTTACGTCTAGGAGGCGGCAGCATTTGCTGCAGAGGCCAATGGGCACGAGATGTTCGGTTGTTCGATGCGTGTGTTCTCCGCTAAATGGCAGCGCATCTGGATTTGCAAATATTGCCGCGCGGCGTGGCCAAGTTTGCAACGCACGGTGCTGCCACGCGAAGAAATGAGGTTCGAATCCTGTTCGGCCCGGTTCTTTCTTTGATCAATTTTTGTTCTTCCAGAAAGTTCCAGCCCATTCTCGACTTTCGTCGTACGTTCTGGTTCAGAACATTTCCGAACGTACCGCGTCTATAAAAGTGGTGATGACGCCCTGCTTCGCGACAGCCGCCCTTCCATCACTGACACACGCGATGCGTGGTACCTTTCTCTCTAAGTTTGTAGGCACAAGCCTGAATTTATGATCAGTTACCAATTCATCTTCTGGCCTTTTTTGTTCCAGGAAAATGTTCGATTAGGGATAATCGCACTCTGCCGGCGCGCAGTTCATTGCACAAGTGTGCGGTGCGGGGGCGGGGGCCGCGTATTGCCTCGACTAAGAGACCGCGCGCGAAGCGTTTGAGCAATTCAGCCATAGGACACATGCACTGCCCGGGGCCGGAACGGTCACATGGTGTTTACCGTAACTGGTAATTTCCCGCCTTCAGTATACCTTGGCGATAAACCACGTGGCCTCGGAAGAAAAAAAAAGTGTAGTATTTCTAGGAAGCGCTTTTTTTTTTTCTTCTTCTTTGGGGTCATGCAATTTTTGCAGAAGCATATCGGAGTTTCCTCGCGAGTAATTGTTTGCACCGACCGCGTCAGCAGTGCGAAATAGGTGGTGATGAATTGCAGCTCCGGGTTTCTCCTCTCTGAAGGAAATAACGAGGAAGTCGGTGAAGGTGTCGGCAAAAACGAACAAAAGTGATGTTAGCGCCACATCCCAGGCAAGCTTAATGTGGCCAGGAGCCCTTAACGCCGGTGTTTAGAACATTCACATATATTTCAGACGAATATAAAGAAATGGTATAAATTAAAAAAAGAATTACAAAAAAGAAAGGAACTTCTGGAAGTTTTGCAGTGCAGCCGATTCCTCGCTAAGAGACTGGGATATGTACCCTTACCTTTATCTGAAATTCTTTCGAGGCCATGATCACTTCATCTTTCTTCGTTTATACTTTACACATTCCTACCTCTACGTTAGGCTTTTCCTCGACGATTTATTATCTGCATTGCCGACCTGTCAGATGTGCAATGAAGAAACCGGTGCTGAGAACAAGGAACCGACGCGCTAGTTCCGACAAGTAACAGACACTGTAAAAAGATTACCAACTTTTTTTCTTTTCTTTCTTAAGAGATTGTTCGTAAAAATGTTTTTTGTTTTGTTTTTCGAAAGCAATTAGATTACTGTAAAAGCCTTTATTTTCGCGGCCCCTATTTTTCGCGAATCGGTCACAGATGACATAATCGCGACCACTAAATTTCGCGAATTCCAGACGCCTGCATTGAAAATCTTAAGGACCGACATTTTTGCGCGCCCTTAAATTTCGCGAATTCTTCAATTCGGGAAATTCGCGGAAATTGACGGCTCGCGAACATTAAGGGTTTTACAGTATATTGTCATTGCCTCATAGGAATATAATCCGTACAATATCCGAATTTTTAACCCCGCCGCACGGGTAATTCTATTTTGAATAGAGCACAACTGCTGAGGTTACAGCGTTTTCGTTGGCATCAGCGGAAACTCTGGCGTAACATCAGACAAAGAGAGCCACGACAGATCTTGACTGCTGTCTCAGTAAAATAATCTCATTCTGAGAAAGACCAGATTTACGGTGTGGAGGGAGGCTCAGTTCTTCGACGATGATATTTCCACGCACCATCAACCATGATGATCAAAACCGGCAATAAGTCAACGGCCGCGACTCAGACGTTACCATACCTGATGTGACGTCACGACACAACCAGCCATATGCATGCTTGCGAAATTTGGCGTGCAGTTTCGTATAGATGCTCCTTATTGATTTAACGAATACTGGGGCGTCTTTTAATGAAACAAGAATCACAGATGACTATGCGTAGGCCCACGTCTACGTGACCAACGCCAAAGCTTGGTAATTTCCGGATATCACCAGAAAATCCCTTTAAAATATGAATTTGTAAGGTGGCTTGTCTCCTAGCAGATTCGAATAACTCACTTCCTGTAACGCACTCTTGTGACGAAACAAACGTCACATGAGTGCTGCGTGAGCGTTGGGCTGGAGGTCCTGCCCTCACTGGTTTGACACGAGTGACGAGACACAGCTGAATGCTGACGACACGCTCGTGTCCAATCCACGTCCCGCGCTGGCTTCCAACAGCAGGGTGACGTAGAAAACCCAGCACTAGGCGAGCGCGGTCGCACATATGTGGTGGGAGAGTGTGCAGCAGGCGAGATGGAAGACAAGAACGTGCTTTGGAGGAAACGGTGAGACGCGAAATAGCAGGGTCAAAACCGGGGTTTGCGATCGAAAGAAACACGACCTCACTGTTCAAGTCCCTCTAGGGCGCTGTAGGGGCCGTGGCTGGAGTTTAGGCAGGCCTTCATTTAAGGAACGCTACGCACGTTGATGTTTGAGCCGTCGGGGCACTAAATCAGTGTCAAATTGATCTGTGTCACACCAGCGCGAAGAAACACACAGTACATTTTGTGTTACCGCTGCCCTTGCAACCGCGACAAGTAAAAAAAGAGGCGATTTTTTTTTTACTCTCGAATGTTATTAATGGGGTGCAAATGAACACAATAGAGAACATAGAGTCCCGTTAAAAATTATAAGGTGTTTAGTGTTTGTCACTCTGATATGGACGGGGTTTGCCAACTGCAAGGAGGAAAAACCCAAAATTGGCAGAAGGTCGAAACAAATACCCGCAGACCGCCAAGTGAAAAGACAAGCAGAGAGACAGCGGATGGCTGAGGTCAAAGGAGAAAACAGAAAGAAACAAAAGATATAAAACCTCCTCGCTACACCCATTGCCGTTCGTCTCTATCTCTCTCTCTCTGCCATTTCATTTACCTCACGCCCTCTCACCGCAACGGCCCTCCTCCTCAGCCCGTTTCCGTGAAGAACAACTCGCCGGACGGAAGGCCGACTCGACGCAGTCGTAGCAGGGAAGAAGATGCGGTACCACGATCGGCGTGTCACCGACAACATCTCTGGCGGAGGATTCAGTTAGTCCTCGTTTATGCAGTCGCGACCGCTCCACGTCGTCGACCCTTCGTCCGCCTTCTCTGGAACAGCGGTCTAGGAGAGAGGAGCGCGACGAAGAGGCGGCCCTCCACGGTCACCGTGCTGCGGGAAGATCGAGATTTCGTCGTCGTCGTCGTCACCTGCGAGTGCGGCCCAGCAGCGTCGCCCTTGTTTGTGCAACGCAACCCTCTGCGAATCCTCCGGTGTCGGTTTGCACAGCCGTGAACGCAGCAGCGGTAGCTGCCAGACAGCGCACCGCCGGAGCCTTCGCCGGGCCGTGAGCCAAGAACGGTTGTTTTTTCAGGTTGGTGGTTGTCGTCGTCTTTTATCCATTGCGAGGCTGTCGCGTGTAATGTGCGCGATGTCGCGGCCGAGGCGATGTTGCGTGAAGACGGTCAGGGATGCTTGCATTCGAAAGTCACTGGTGGGGAACGACACGGTTTATTATTATTATTTCTTCTTTTTTTTGCGTCATGATGTTTGTGATGATGTGTTTGTCACCAAGAGCTTCATGTGCGTTTGATATGCGTCTCTTCGTGAATTTGATTAGCGAGGTTCCACGACTCTTAACAAGATCTTTGGAACTGATTTACTAGATTTTGCTGAACACTGTTTAGACCAGGGTCCCTATGTTGCGCTTTTTGGACTCCCGCGGCGACTAGGGAGAAGGAAGTGACGTCCACAACGCAGGAAACGCAGATTGGATGTTTCTTCTGCTCAAATTCTTCATCAACCACTCTCACCCATCAACGTCCAATCTGCGTTTGCTGCGTTGTTGACGTCACTTCCTTCTCCCTAGTCGCCGCGGGAGTCCAAAAAGCGCAACATAGGGCCCCAGGGGTGGCCAAACTGCGGCTCTTCGCGCGTCTAAGTGCGGCTCACAGCTCCCTGGTAAGCGTGCCCCCCTCCCCTCCTGCGTCCACAAAACAAAAAGAGTTTTAGAATTAAAAAGAAAAAAAAAGCCCACAGTCTTCGCAGCTTTGTACGACACAACGTGCATACAGCTAAACTGCTTTTTGGCACCTAGAATTGTCCAGTGACCCCAGTGGCGTAGCCAGAAAATATTTTCGGGTGGTGTTTCAAGGTGCTTATGCACACACACACACACACACACACAATATGTATATATATATATATATATATATATATATATATATATATATATACACACACACAGGGTGTCACAAAAGAAAATTTACACGGTCTTTTTTACCGCAAAAATAAACTAGGCATCGCCGAACGCTCATTCTCCGCCCAAAGGTAGAGGTAGAGGTCACGACCAGATGCCAAAGTTTCAGCCCGATCCGATAACTTAATCAAAAGTTATAAGTGGTTTTCTGAAAATTTCAAATGGGAAAATGGCGGCCGACGGAGTTTTCAAACACATGGGGCTCTATGGCACCAGAAACCGAAAACAGGCAAAAATGGGCTCCATTTTCCCATTGAACTTTTCAGAAAATCACTTATAACTTTTGATTAAGTTGTCGGATCGGGCTGAAACTGTGGCATCTGGTTGTGACCTCTAGCGCTACCTTTGGGCGGAGAATGAGCGTTCGGCGATGCATAGTTTATTTTTGCGGTAAAAACGACAGTGTAAATTTTCTTTTGTGACACCCTGTATATTGTCACGAATGACAAATGATGAGGCGAAGAGGAAGAATAAGTAAAGAAACTAAGCGTTTAATAAGGCAAACCTGTGCCCAAAACAAAATAAAAGTAAGGTAGCGTCGCATTAAAAAAGTGAGGAATTTATTGAGATTTATTTGTCTTTTTTCCCTGTTATAACAGTATCGCGTGGTTTCTTTCGCACCTATTAAGTATGCATCCCAAGTGACAGCGTTGCTGAACGACCTGTCAGAACTGGGAAGGGGGTGGGGGTCGATATTCATCAAATTATCTCCATCAAAAACACGCGAATAGTGAAAGTAGAGGTTAGTGCAAAGGAAAACCTACGATTTGTCACATTAGCACTTGTTCTGCTTTGCGAAAAGCTCCAGTCGAACCACAGTAGTACACGCCGAGCAGCGCCGACGACGAAGCTGACGGGGGCACGTTCCTAGGGCTCAGAGCAACAGCGCTACGGTGTCGTCTACGCGCAAAATCTTCGCGCGGCGGCGTCCGCTTTTGCCACTACAACTCTCTAGGACACTGTAGTTTCATGACCCCCTTAAGCAGTGTGACCCGGCGTTAATGTCTTTTTGACCTTGGCTTCATGTAGTACCACGACAAACATCAATTCGTGCTTGCAAAAAACAAAAAAAGAACAAAAAAATCCTTGCGGCGACTTGATGTTGCAGTTATTCCGCAACACCGCCTTCTCGCAATCACGTTCCATTGCTGCCAGTTGAAGACGCTCAAGAGGGAGAAAAAGAAATCGCTAACAAGATGTGATTGGCGTGTCTCCGAGCAACGATAGTGGCACTATGAATAGTTCTATTTATGTCACTACCGAAGCAGCGTTGCAACAAAAAGGCGGATAGCCAAGAGGTCTGCGTGGCGCCTTTCCTAACGAAGACGATGATGAGATGAGTATATATATATACATCGTTTTTTGTCACTCTATACATTCTGAGAAATCTCTTGCGTCTACTTTTCCCACAAAGAACTTTGGAGAGAAAATCGGTGCAATCCACGACGGATGGGGAGTTCAATGAATGACCAAACAAAAAATATCTCTGCACCTGGAAAAAAAAAAACTGTCAGCGCTGTGACGTTGAACATGACGTTTTACGTGTTCACGTCGTGTCCGTATGTCACTCCATGAACTGAGTTTTTAGGTGAAAGGGTATTTTAAGCCTCGTCATTACATTCGCAGAGCTCTCTGGGTAGACTGCAGCTATTGGCTCTCTAAAGTACACCGAGGAAAAGCAAACGCTCCACATTTCTCAGAGCCTGCTGCGGCAAGGAAAACTAACGCTTGCGTTATAGTCTGTCTGCTCGAATTCGCTCATAAACGCCGATAAAAGAGCCTACTTCACGCGCCATAAAACGAATGCAGGAAGAGCAGGCATGCATATTACCCCAACGAGGGTCAGTGTCTTCTTCTTCTTGGCAGCGACGAGGATGATTTTCTTACCCCCCCAAAAAAAGGTAGAGGAAGAGCAGGTAAACACAATGGGGATTCCCCCGGCAATTTTCCTCGCGTTAGATTGCGCACGTATAGGCCGTTTGAGTAAAACCGCGTTTCTTCGAGGAAATTTACGGCCTCTCGGAAGGCTATTGCAGGTTCATTCATTCGTTCGGGAGTTCATTCATAAGAGCGCTCTCGAATGGACCGCACATACGTTGAGGTGATACGTAAGGTTCCGCGTTTATACGTAGACGTTTCATGTAAGTTTACGCGCTTGTATGTTCACGTCAGAGCGTTTATACGCCGATGCTACGCTGAAATTACGCGACGCTGACGTTAGGGTGACGTTCGCGCAAAGTTACGCGCTTCTACGTTTACGTGATAGTACAGTTTAACTCGTAAAGGTCTACGTTTATACGCTGACGTTTCGCGTAAGCTTACGCGCTTTTACGTTGGCCTTACGCTGAAGCTTTCGCACTTATACGTTGACGTGACGCGTTTTTCACTTACAAACACGAAGTGCCACAGATCTGAATTTGGCTGTCCACTCGTGGCCCTGGCAGTCGAGTGAGTATGAGACTGTATTCGGAGACTACACTCTCCAGCAATGCAGAATTTGCCCTCAAGGTCCAGTGTGCTTTGCTTTGGCGGTATTTCCTCATATACCTTTTTGAAAACAAAATTGATTGGAACGCGAGAGCACGCTGGGATTGTGGTTCCGCACACAGCACGTGCTAGCTCTTTTTGAGATAAAAATTGTAATACATTTTCATAAAATCATTTGGGCCGGATAAAACCTTCTTCAAGGAGCGAAAGGAAAACTTTGTTTTGTAGAATTACACGGCCGAACTGCAGTGTTGTCAGATGGTCCCACCAAGAAACGGTTGGATGGTATAGCCCAAACATAGCTAAAGCTTTAAAGGAAATACAGCCAAAATAGCCAAGACTAAAAACAATGATTTCTAAGCGTTTTATTCACATTTTTTTCCACACATACAAAACACGTTACATACTATTTTTCAACCCTTGGATGCTCTACATTTTGTGTACTATATGCCACTTGTGAATTTTTCGAAAAAAAAAATCTTCAGAAGGATGAAAATTCGTACAACTGACCTTCCCTCATATGTTTTCAAAAAGTACAAGATACAAAGACACCTTTATTGTGAAGCGCGGAAGATATTATCATAACGTAAAAGAACAGACTGCAGAAGCAGAACAGTCCGAAAACTGGGCTTTTCAAACTAGAACCCACAATATCCCACCCACCGCTTTTATCCTTGTGTAGAATATGCCATGCCATGCTAGCCACGCTCCATTAGCTACCCCGTACGCGTAGTTCGCGACGACAGCTACTTTGTCTCCGAAACGCTCCAAGCTATTGGCGCCCGTTCTCGCGCGAGTAACAAAATGACCGTGAGGTAAGAGGCGAAAGGAGGGACAAGGTTGTTTACGGTTGCTTACGGCAACCTAGTCGGATGCAGGAGACTAAACAGGATCGCTCAAGGCGCTCCTACTTCGAAGGTTGTTGTGTGCGCATCGCGGGTAGCAGTTTCTTTTATGCAAACAAGAACGAATGATTGAAAGACAATAACTGCGTTTCTCATTATGTGTTATGTGCGGAAACAAACGCTGCATTTGCACGAAAACAAAACCGAAACGTGACTCCAATCAATAAAAAAGAAAGAAAGGTTTGTGAGTTCAGCTGCCTGCAGAATACGCAGACGACCAATCACGGTGATCATCAGAAGAATCTCAGCGGGCGACGAAGCTCATAATACGACTAGATTTGACAACTGCGACATGAGCGGAGACATTAAGCAAATAAAACGTCATGCCGACCGATCGTCCCGCGCACATCGCAAGTTTTTTTTTTTTTTTTTTTTCGGTCTAGCCGTATTCTGAGCTTCGCCATGTACGCTAGAATCCTTGTATCCTTCGCCGTGATTTGCTGTATCGTGTTCTATGGGAACGTGAACTCACAATTTTTCAGCGTCTCGGCCAAACAAGCGCTCTGTATTAGAGTTCCAGCCTTATTCAGGGTACTTCTTAAAGTACCCTGAATAAGGCTGGAACCTGAACCGAAACTTGAATTTCACAAAGTAAGGTAGCAGGAGTGTTCAACAGGGCGCCACAAACCCCAAAACACCACTGATAAAGCAATATCTCGAACGAATGGCCGTATTTTTGTAGACTAAGAATGCAGTTGAGTGAGAGTCGCGACGTCGCGCCTC